CTTGGTGTCGGTGGAGGGGGGTGCGTTTGGACCCCGCTTAGGTCGCAGTGATCCGTGGATGGCCAAGGCCAGCAAACGTGGCTACAGAGGCTGGGGTGCTTCGAGCACGAGCTTGGACCGGTCCGCCAGTGGCTGGTGGCAGGGAGTGACCGGCCTGAGTGGGAGGACATCTCCGACTCCGGCGCCGGGGTCAAAAGCTGGTGGTCTAGTTGGGAAACACCGCGCCTTTTCCGAGGAGTCTTGCAAGTAAAGTGGGCGAGGGCCGACGGGGGCCCCCACCTAGAAGATTGCCGCAGGCCAGGGTGGCAGAGGTTTTACTTCTTGCCCACAATCACCGAACTGCTGGACACCTCGGGGTCGTTTGGACCGTGGCCCGACTCAGGCAGGCTCCTGTGTATTGGAGGGAGATGAGACGGCAGGTCGAGGAGTGGTGCCAGAAGTGCCATCTCTGCAGTTGTAAGAAGTCCCCGCCGCGTCCCGGGAGAGCTCCGCTCCGACAATACCTGGTGGGGGCCCCATGGAGTGGATCGCCATTGATCTCACCGGACGCCTGCCTCGAACCAAGGCCGGGAACACCAGCATAATGGTAGTGGGTGTAGGCGTTTCCCCTTCCGGATCAGACGGCTGAGACTGTGGCCAAGACCCTCGTGGAGCAGGTGATCACATGCTTCGGGACACCCCTCGAGATCCACATGGATCAAGGGCGGGAGTTCGAGGCGGGCCGGTTCTGCGGGGTCTGCCGGCTGTTGGGTATCCACAAGACCAGGACGACCCTGTTCCACTCCAGTCCGACGGCATGGTCGAACGGTTCAATCGAACCGTGAAGACCATGCTGAGCATGCTTGTGGCTGAGAATCAGGACGAGTGGGACGAACATCTCCCCTACGTCCTGATGGCCTGCTGTTCCTCCCAGCACGATAGCACCAGGCTCACACCCCGAACATGCTCATGCTTGGGTGGGAGGTGGAGCTTCCCCTGGACGTCGTTGTCGGGTCACTGGGGGAGCGGACAGAGACTACCGAGGCACTAGATTACGTCAACGAGCTGAGAGCGAGGCTCACACGGGCCATTGAGTTTGCCCGGCGACACCTGAGGCGGACTCAGAGCTACCAGAAGCAGCAGTACGACCGGCGCGCCCAGGTGGCCGGGTTCGAGCCCGGCCAGGCAGTTTGGCTGTTCACCCCCAAGAAGAAGGTCAGTCGTGCCCCCAAGCTGCAATGGTGGTGGGACGGACCCTTCGCGGTGCTACAACGCCTCAACGATGTGACCTATAAACTGCAGCGTACCGCCCAAGCGAAGCCCCAGATCGTGCATCACAATCGGCTCAAGTGCTACCTGGGCGACGTGCAGCTCGGATGGCGGGAGCGCGTGGCCC